ATGTATGTATGTATGTATGTATGTATGTATGTATGTATGTATGTATGTATGTATGTATGTATGTATGTATGTATGTATGTATGTATGTATGTATGTATGTATGTATGTATGTATGTATGTATGTATGTATGTATGTATGCATACAACACCACCTCCACTACCGCCACCGCCGCCGCCACCAGTAACAGCACCACCCCCGCCGCCACCTCTCTCAACATACAGACACTGACAAACTATCACGCACACGCACGCACGCACGCACGCAGGCAAGCACGCGCACACGCACGCACGCACGCTCGCACGCACGCACGCAGGTAAGCACGCGCACACGCACGCACGCACGCAGGCAAGCACGCGCACACGCACGCACGCACGCACGCACGCAGGTAAGCACGCGCACACCCACGCACGCACGCACGCAGGCAAGCACGCGCACACGCACGCAGGTAAGCACGCGCACACGCCAGCACGCACGCACAGATGCATCATGCGGCGTTCACACAGTGCCAATTATGTCTCCCGTTTGAGATCAGACAGCGCTACGACACGAAAAGTGAAAAAGTCGGATTACTATCCTCAATGATCCGGAATGTCCTATCATTGCCTGAACGCAGTCGTATACGTTCGTAACAGAGTCCTACGGATCGGGAATGGTCCGGAGAGGTCGACCAAGCACTCCCAACAGTTAGGTGCGTCCCGTATAACATTCGGGAAACTCAGCCGATTTTGTCTAGTCAGATTGCAATCGTGACTATGTCGTGAAAGATTCTGCTGTATCGGATCAAAATCGTAACAATGTCCTGTGTTGTCTGGACGGTGTCCTGTGGATCGGAACGCTGTCGTGATGAATGGGCATAATCTGGAGTAATTTTTCATTGCCGTTTCTTGCCGAGTCCAGATTGCGTCCAGATCTAACGGCTGTCTTCCGTCAGCGTCGGTTCACTGTCGGGTCACTGTCTGAACTCGGTCGGATCGCATTCGGGAGAATCGGGACGCTGTCGGGACAGATTTGGTCGTTTTTTACCATGCGAAAGATACAAATCGGATCAGAATCGGATTGAGAACTGGACAATCGGGACGAATTCGGCTGGAAACGGCTGAATCGGGACGCTTCCTGAACAATATCTGATTGTTGTCGTGATTAAATAAATGTTTTTACAAATTTTTAATAAAGTTTGAATTTCCCGCCACGAATCACAAGATCTTTCTTGATCAGACTTTTGACAAATTTTAATCGGGAATAGTCCTATCAAGGACGGCAGTAAAAACCCTGAATGTGTGACTGAGCCTTGAATGCTCAGCGCGCACCTATAGTCCACGAAATCGGCGCGGCTCTCAACTTTGCAACAGGTAAGTGTGCGACAGGAAATGATCATGATGCAATAAATGGGCAATTCGGCGCAGCCGGCTTGTTGTACACGCCGAAGATGGCGACATGATTGCAGGCATGGTTTGAGGGACAGCTCTTAGGCGCTAAAATCGCTCGCACGCGCGCTATGTCATTCGGCTATATTAGTAGCAATTAGAATTTCGTCGCTAATGGAATGGCAGGCATCACATATACTCGCGTGGTCAGACAGAGAACACAAAGGTGGCGCCGGAGAGGGTAAACAAATTAGGGGAAACGAGGTGTGCGTCTGTCCATGCCTGTGTAGGTGTGTGCGCTTTGTATGAGTTCGTGCGTGCGTGTGGGCGTGCGTGCGTGCGTGTGCGTGTACGCGCGTGTGTGTGAGAGAGCGTGCGTTCGCTCGTACACGCGCGCATGCCGTGAATCCATTTTGTGCACACATGCACGCACGCACGCATGCACGCACGAGCGCACACACTCATATAAAGAAACACTAAGTTTCTTTTAGGTCCTCTACTACGAATGAGAGAGAGAGAGAAAGAGAGCGAGAGAGAGAGATAGAGAGACCAGCGTCAGATCATGTATTTCCCGCCAGATGCCGTGCGCGCTCTATCTAAGGAGCAGATACTACAAACATAATCTAACCTTGCACTGGAGAAGTAAGGGCTTCCTTCCGCCTCGAATCTCTTAATGATTGGATCTTTCAGGGCTTTCTCCTCTTCTTCTGTCCACTGGAATAGAAAACAGCATCCTCATTAAGGCTACTGACAAAACCGTCAATAAAATGCACTACGACTAGTTGTCGCGTTCAAACATAGCGCAAATTGAAGTCAACGTGTATACACACACACGCACCCACGTAGACACGCACGCATGCATGCATGCACGCACGCACACACAAATACACACGTACGCGCACTGCGCGCGCCCACACACACGCACGCACACCCGTATGCACGCACACACGGACAACATTACGCCATGCGCAAGCGTGCACGCATAGATGAGAGGGCAAATGCAACGTTACTAATTACCACTAATACGTAAGGAAACGTAAGAGAATCTTTAACATCATAGACTTTTTCCCAATCGTCTTGAAAGTAGATTCCGGTTGTAAAATGGCAACATTTTTGTCCACGGACACTTGGAGCGTCTCAATAAAGAAAAATTAATGCCAAATAAACACGAAATGTACTTACTACCAAAGTTTTTATGTTTCTCAACTCTCTTTCGCCTATTATTGCCGATAATTTCCTGTAAATGCCGTTCATATGCTCCTCTGCAACACACACGTACACCGCACGCCGCGCCGCTGCACGTTTACACTTATATATATGCGCTCCAAGTGCCTGTGTTTTTGTCAGTAAATAATATGCCAAACCATTTAATGTCCTCGTATGTGCGGGCGGGTGCACTGACTGGTTGCATATTTTTAGTAGATTTTTACTTGTTTCCTAGCTTTGATATTTTGTTAAGGAGTCCGCTGTGTTACCAGTGGTTTCAACGTAGATTGATGCTGGAACTCGCCGATTTTAGAATCGCTATTCGAAAACACTATCAGATCTGCTCTTTCATCGACAATGAGAGAACTGAAATGTGGATATTTTCTTCCACGGCGACCCTAACCTGAATATGCACCCTAAAATTGCAAAGACTTACGGAGCCAGTCTACTAAAGTTTAAGTCACTCAATTATCCAGAAACGATGTTGAACAACAGACATCGATATCATTAGCTACTTATTTGGCCATTGTCATTTTTGAGACGCATCTTGACATTCGGCACAGATCAAAAAACATCATACAAGGCCATTCGGATTATTTTCGGATGACCAGATTCACGTTCGCCATTCACGTCCGTCAGCACGTTTCCTTCTAGCGCCGCTCGTGACAGTTTGGTGGCGGCGCTTAGCCTGGCTACCTGTCAATACGCAGCAGTAATAGCTTTCTGTAAGAGCGAAAGCTGCGCTCGATTCTCCCGCCTGGTGGCTGCAGGATAATTGCCCGGCGTGCTAATACAGCGCTCTTTTCGAGTCGACTCGTAATCCGCACATCAAACATACGCTCTATGAAGCCCCCGCCCACGGACGCGCGTGGCCGGATGTAGACCGTCGGCACATATCACCTATATGCTCTCGGCGAACTAGATATATGGGCCTGCCGCGCGACGACCTCAATCTCTGCGACTCGCCTGTGTGCGGAGCAAAGCTCTGGTAGGCCCACGATGCGTCCCCTGTGTGCAGAGTAAAGCTCTGGTAGGCCCACGATGCAGCCTGCGTACATCACGCGCGCTGCCATGTGGCACGGTGCCGATAAACGCCCGCTACTGTTCACGACCTTTCCATCTTTTTATCAACTGTGCAATCTTTGCCGCGCCGGTGGGCTCCACGGTCACGAAGAACTCCTATAGATTAATTACACTGGAAGCGACGCGCGCAAGATCAGACAGGCGATAGGATAAGCGGCGATATACCAAATTACGTGCGTGGGAAGATCTATAAACCCTGATGGATACCGCCCTTTCGTTACCGCTGCGCTGATCAACGACTGCGTTTGAGTGTAGGAGGAAGAGGAAGAGGAAGAGAAGGAGGATGAGAAGGAGGGGGAGGAAGATGAGGAGGTGTGGGCGGAGAAGAAGGGGAGAGCTTCATTTCTGCTGCGCCGACCAGTAACACTACGAAGTTCGAGTATAGGAAGCTAAGAAGGAGGAGGATGACGAAAAGGAGGAAGAGGGCGAAGGGGATGAAGATAGGGAGAAGGGAGAAGGACAAAGAGAAAGAAGGAGACGAGAACGAGCACGCGGAGTTTAGAAAGAGAAGGAGCAGAGGAGAAAGAACAGGGGAGGAGGGGAGGAGGAAGGAGGAAGGAGGAGGAGGAGGAGGAGGAGGAGGAGAAGGAGGAGGAGGAGAGGAGGAAGGGGAAAATGTGTATGAGAAATAACGGATTAAGGTGCAAATGAAAGATAAGTGGAGGAGGAAGAGACGGAGAAGAAGAACAAAGAGGGGCGAGGATAAATAACAGATGAAAGCGCATGAGGAGGCGGCGCAGGATGAGGAGGTGGAGGAGGAGGAGGAAGAGGAAAAGGGCGATGACGAGAGGAAGACGAGGAAGCACACGATAGATAAAAATACACGACGTATAGAGATAACGGGAAAACCTAGGTATGTATGCAAACATACGGACAAAGCGATAGATCACGTTTCAAGTTGCGAGGGGATAGTAAACTTAATAACGTGGTCATAAAATGTCCCAACTGAAGGCACACGCTATTACCATATGTATATATATATATATATATATCTCAATGTATTCTTAAGCATGATGTATGGCTGTCATTTAGCGATTTTACGTACGACTATACCTCGTACCGTGAACGTGATATACTCCCACTCACAGCACTTTCAAACAAATTGCGTGTGGATCCTACACACCACGTGTCATTCGACGCTATACACCTATAGGAATTCTACCCATTTAGCGCATGCCAATATGGCAGCTATTACCAAAGCTAGATTGATGAGGTGAAAGCTAGGGTCCTTAATAACATGGCGCTGTTATTCGAGCTCAAGGTTTTACAGATATATGTATGGGCACTTAGAATAATTACACACAAGCTAGGCGGCATGCCATAGTCAACCATGGCGTACTGCTGTGGCTAAGAAAGTGTTCTTACATAGACGGCAGCATAGCAAGAAAATACATGAGCAGCAAAGCAGCTTCCTCGTGTCATAAATTTCATTTGTGTCCAGCTTTTGTGGTTTCATAAATTCATTTTACTACGATCCACTTTAAACCGATTGCATCTGGGAAATCTTCGACCAAAGCAAGCCGTTAGTTATTTAGTACTTCAAAACTTTTATATTACCAATTCGAATGAGAAATGGGTATACGGAAATAGGAGATTGGCGTATATAATTCGCGGTTGTTGTAAATAAGATAAAAGGTAATGACAATATAAACTTTATAATACAAAGTTGCAAATAAAATATGCACGCAAATTCTCAACGTTTTGTTTTTTAAATTATCGTGAACATACCGGCTTGAATTTTAACTTATAGAAGAAGATTTGGTCAACAGACCAAATCAAAATAGTCTCGAATGTCAAATACCTCAATAGTGGAAATGTTGCTGGTGGAAGTGTTGTCCTGAGATTTCACATTCGGGGTTCGACATTATCCGTGCATTTTCATTTTAATAAAACAATTAAACAACAAATTCCCACGTATTCTAAAATACTATGTAAATTGTTTTAAGGGGTCAACATTAGAAGCTACAGTGGAAAAAATTATAAACACTTTATAAATTGCTGGCAGAGAGTGTTAGAGTAGAAAATGACAGGGGTTTACAGGGAACTAAACGTCAGTTCTAACGGAGCTGGCCATAATTACAGGTTTATAATTATACTCGTAGGTCGAGTTAGCAAAAAGGAAACGTAGAGAGGTGAGGGAAGGGACAGGACAGGGAGAGGATGGTGAGGGGAGGAGGAGGTTGAGCAGAAGAGGGTACGAAAAGTATAAAGGACGAAGCTCGATGAGTAGAAGGAGAGTGAATTGGGATGGTGGATTGGAGAATGAGAAGAAGGCAGAGGAGGAGTAAGCACAAAATAAAAGAAGTAAAGGCGAGTGCGCGCGTTTGTGTGTCCGCGCGCGCGTGCAGCTGTGTGCGTGTGTCTGCGCGCGTGTGCATCTGTGTGCGTGTGTCTGCGCGCGTCTGCGCGCGTGTGCATGTCTGCGCGCGTGTGCATCTGTGTGCGTGTGTCTGCGCGCGTGTGCATCTGTGTGCGTGTGTCCGCGCGCGTGTGCATCTGCGCGCGTGTGCATCTGTGTGCGTGTGTCCGCGCGCGTGTGCATCTGTGTGCGTGTCTGCGCACGTGTGCGTGTGTCTGCGCGCGTGTGCATCTGTGTGCGTGTGTCTGCGCGCGTGTGCATCTGTGTGCGTGTCTGCGCGCGTGTGCATCTGTGTGTGTGTGTCTGCGCGCGTGTGCATCTGTGTGCGTGTCTGCGCGCGCCGTGCATCTGTGAGGGTGTGCGGGTTGCGCGCGGTGTGCGTGCATCGCGCGCGCGTGCTCTGTGATGTGTGCTGTCGCGCGCGTGTGCGTGTCGTCTGCGCGGTGTGCATCTGTGTGTGTGTGTCGCCGCGCGTGGATCTGTGTGTGTGAGTTCTGGCGCGCGTGTGCGTGTGCGGCGCGCGGGTGATTGTTGCGTCACGCATACCGGTGTGTCCGCGCGCGCCGGTGTGCATATGTGCTGTGTGTGTCGCGCGCGTTGTGCATCTGTGTGTGCGTGTGCGCGCGCGTGTGGCATCTGGTGTAGCGATTGATCTGCGCGACGGGCATCTGTGTGGGGTGTCCGCCGCGCGTGTGATCGGTGTGTGTGTGGCTGCGCGCGGTGTGCGTCGGGTTCTGCGCGCGTGTGCGATCTGTTGTGGTGTGTCCGGCGCGCGTGTGCTATGTGTGGGTGTGGGCCGCGGCGTGTGCAGCTGTGTGCGGTGGTCGGCGCGGTGTGCATCTGGGGCTTGCTGCGTGGGTCCGCGCGCGTGTGCATCTGGGTGCGATTGTCGCAGCGCGTGTGCATCTGTGTGCGTGGTCGCGCGCGCGCCAAGCGCGAGCGACGCGTGTGCATCTGCGCGCTGCGTGCATCGGTGTGTGGGTGTCCGCGCGCGTATGTGCAAGCTGTGATGCGATGTCTGCGCGCGCGGCCATCTTGTGTGCGTGGGTCTGCGCGGCGTGTCTCTGTGGGGTGTCTGCGCGCCGTGATGCATCTGCTGTGCGTGTCTGCGCGGCGTGTGCATCTGTTGCGATGTGGCTAGCGCGCGTGGTGCATCTGTTGCGATTGTCTCGCGCGTGTGCATCTGTGCTGTCCTGTGTTGTCTGCGCGCGTGTTAGGCATCTGGTGTGCGATTACTGCGCGCGTGTTGCATCTGTAGTGCGTGTGTCCGCGCGGTGTGCATACTGTGTGCGGGTCTGCGCGCGTGTGCTATCTGTGTGCGTGTGCTGCGCGCTGTGTGCATCTGTGTGCGATTGTCTGCGCGCGTGTGCCTGTGTGCGTGTGTCCCGCGCGGTGTTGCATATGTGTGGCGTGTCTGCGCGCGCGTGGCATCCTTGGTGGGCGTGTGTGCGCGCGTGCTGCATCTGTGTGTGTTCTGCGCGCGCGTGCATCTGTGTGGTGTGTGTGTGTGTGTGCATCTTGTGTGTGTGTTCTGCGCGCGCGTGCATCGTGTGTGGTGTGTGTCTGCGCGCGTGTGCATCTGTGTGTGTGTGTCTCGCGCGGTGTGCATCTGGGTGTGTGTGTGGGCTGCGCCGGCGGTGCATCTGCTGGGCGTGTGCATCTGGTGTGTGTGTCTGCGCGCGTGTTGCCATCTGATTGGGTGCTGTGTGTGTGTCCTGCGCGCGGGCATTCTGTGGTTGTCTGCGGGGTGTGCATCTTGTGTGTGGCGCTGTGTCTGCCGCGCGTGGCGTGTGTTTCGGCGCGCTGTGCATCTGTTGCTGCGTGGTCCGCGCGCGTGTGCTCATCTGTGGTGGTGGTTTGTGTCCGCGCGCTGTGCATCTGTGTGCGTGACCGTGTCTGCGCGCACGTGTGCATCTGTGTTTGCCGTGTGCATCGTGTG